AGATCCCACATACAGACCGGTTCCCGCTCACTGGCTGAGCGAGGTGTGGGCGCAACACCGGTCCCAGTCCGGTACAGGAGCGACACTGAGGGTTGCGATCCGTTGCCGGACACGAAAAAAAGACAAAAAGGAAAAAAAAAACAGCTTTATTGAGATATAATTCACATACTATGCAATTCACTCATTTAAAGTGTATCCAAGCTTCTTTTAACTAGCATGCTCATATCATGTCTGTAAAACATGATCACGTTAACAAAAATCTGACTTAAAAACTCCAGTTCTCGGAGTCGTTTAGTGTATTTTTGTTATTTGTTTAGGTTTTAGGTAGTTCCTTGACTAAAAAACACTAAGCATCATGCTTTGAGGTGAAGGCCTTGGTCCTAACTGAAACAAGGTAAATTAATAATTAATAAATTTATAAGCGCTGAAAAGACATTGAATGTACCTGTCCAATTCATAGGTCCTTGAAGGATGGGCAGGTTCAAGTTGGGCCAGGTGCATATTTCCCTCAGTAGGCTGAGCTATAATTTGGGGGCTGATGAATTCTATTCTACCTTACAATGTAACTCCAAAGTAAATCTCTGAATAGTTTCCATAGAAAGGATGCAGGAGAAATACTGAGGTATAATGAGAAGATAGTTCCCCATCTTCCTCAACCCCCATGAGGTACATAAGCAGGGTTTATAGTGCCAACTGGTAAAACATAAATTAGAGAGGCTTTTGCTGCACCACCAATATATTAGGTTCCTTTAACTTTCTGAGTTCCTCTGCTGAATTTAAAATGTGATTTGGTTTATATCTTTTCTTGGACATACGTCTGTTGGATAAAATGAGGTACACCTGCAATTTTGTATTCCATTCGCATTGTGTAAATGGTAGAAGAAAAAAGAGGGTTTGAAACAATTTCCAGTATCCTTTTGTTACAAATAGTCTCTCAAGTAACACTTCAATTAGTATAGTATCTTGCTAAAATGCTTACATGTGATATCAGCAACAAGATACTCAGTGTTGCTTTTCCAGACCCATGGGGATAAACTTAATGGATAATCAATTATTTGTTATTCTTCCTTCAAAGGCCATGATTAATATCATTTACAGAGTTTTTTAATATCTTTAGTCTGCTCCTTTTCCTTCAGGGAAACTTAACCTTTTTAGGTTTCCGAGAGAGCACTACAGAAATGTCTTCTCTCAGAGGCATTTTCTTAAGCAAGCCAAGGGGAATGTTTATGGCCAGGCTTTGTGTCACATGCAAGTGTGTTTGTCTACTTGCATGACTACAGGGGTACAAAATTACTGACTAGTCCAGTATCTGCTCCGAGGTCAGCAGGAAGAGAAGGGTGGAACAGACAGAACTCCAAGTCTCTGAGGCTAACTGAAGAAATTTCAAGCAAAGTTGAGGAAAAGAGAAAAAGATGGAAGGCCACTTGAGTGAGTGGTCCATGGTGTACCAAAGCCAAGAACAGCTTTAGAAAGCAGAGCTAGAACATTCTGTGTGCAAACATATCACAGGAAGGCTTTTTAAAGAAAGCACCTCCCCCCAAACAACAAAAATCTGCAGTAAATATTACACATCGAGTATAAAGAACCATAAAATGAAGCATCTTATTCTCAATCACAAGGTTCAGCAGAAAATTTTCAGACCCTCAGCCACAGATGATGACTATTCCTTAGAAATTTAAAATATTTATATTTCATCTTATTCTTTTCTAACTGAAAACATCCTTCAAAAAAGTTTGAGCACTTGCTTTCTTCACAGAAGCTACAATAACCTGCTTTAAGCCCGAGTGACTCATTTCAAAAGCTAGTTTAAGCAGAATTTTACATAATTGATGATGCTCTCTCACTGTAGAATGTAGAAAAGTTTTAACCAAAGAAACCTTATACTTTTCATTTGGTATTAGGTTTTGGATTCCAGAGGTAGGGCCTGGAAGAAAGAGCTATGGGGTTTATTTGTTTTGCCTGCTTATATGTTTTCTTTTAAGCAATAATATATTCAGTTAGAGGCTATTTTGAGAGCTCAATTATGCCCATTTCAAGGAAATGCAAAGCCAATGGAAAATTACAACTGAAGTTTTTAACAAGAAAAACCACCACCATTTAGGAATCGCAACATTTAATTTTACCATCTCAATGAGGCTGCTTTCTTCACTAAATTCAGTAATAGGCAGCAAGTTGCTATTTTGCAGTCAGTTCTTACTAATCTTGATTTTTATAGGCACAGGCCTAGAATAAGAAAAAGACTCTGCACCCCCCATCAGCCTCAAACTACCGTCAAACACATGCCAAGATACTTTAAGACAACTTTAGAAAAGATGAAAAGATTTTAGAGTAGACCTCAAATAAGACCATTCTGGCAGCAAAAGAGGAAAAGAAAAAAAAAGCAAAACCCTCAATTTCTCATTTCATTTGCAATAAAAACCATTTAAGAAAGCCATGACCTGACCCAAAGGCCATAGCTGTAGTTATATAGACTTGATTAAGGCAGTGAGATTGCCATGCTAATTTGCTCTCACGCATATCCAGATTGCCAAACCCACAAGGCTAGTACCTGGATTGTGTTGGTAAAACAGCCTAGAGTATAAAGCTCTTAGAACAGTGCCTTGTACACAGTAAACACTCATAAAATCTTAACTATTATTTTTATCTGGGGCACCAAGGTAAACTTCCCTCTTCCTGGTCCAGCCTTAGTGATACAGTAAAGCATCACATGAGTGAGTTTTCAACTGCAGAGGTGTAGGCTTGGATAAGGGTGGCCAAGGTTCATGGAGCTTACTCACCCTGGGGTTGGGGTGGGGAGGGGGTTGTTGGTGAGGGGGGCTGTGCTGGGTGCCTCAATCACCACTTCCTCAAAGCATTCTGGGATCACCCCAATTCATGCAGAGCTCTTTCCTTAAAATTTTAATCTGCCCCACTAATTTTAACACTTGCCAATCCCATTCTATCTTATATAATGTTTCAACTTTTTGAGAAGGGACCCTATTTTAAGCTTATCTTAAATCCTCCCATGATCTCAGTCCTGGGTACTTGGCTGTGATGGGATTTGTAACATTCTGCTGTTGGAAGAGGACAGGGTGCTGGATGGGAGAGAATAGCCAACAGAGTCCAGAATAGGTGTGCTGTGCAGACGAGCCTTGGTCAACACCACACAATAACCCCAGGCTGACAACCACCCAATGCACCCTTCATCCCTCCCTCCTGCTCTCGTTTGGGCAGCTCACACAATGGTATGTAGAATTAGAGAAGCATACCATGTCTCTGTCGTCCTCTGTTTTACAGTCTCCCCCACCCTTCACTAAGGGCTTGCCTTTTGTTTTCTCATAACAGGAGAGGCATTCAACTTCACCTCTGTAGGCAGGTGCTCAGCCCAAAGCTGACATCACAGCGCAATGTCACCAGGGTTGAAAACAGTGAGGATACTTGAGATTATAAACCCAGCCCTCAGAAGGCCAACTGCTTTTAAGAAGTTAGCAGACTTCTCATGCTAAGCAGGGAAGGGATTGTTTGCAGTTGCTGGGAAAAAACAAAAAACAAAACAAAAAACCCCCTGCAAACAGCCAGCTGCTTTGCTAGGAGGTTACCAAAAGATTCTTAAACTCTGACTCATCATCAAAGCGCCAAAGGTGGTTGCTATACTGGTCACTATTTGCGGTGATGATGATGACTGTGACAGTTCCAGTGCAGACAGTGTGAAGAGGGAGAAAAGAAAGGAGACTCATGAAGGGGACAGAGGGGCGGGAAGTTACCTGATCCCAGGCTATCTAAACTTTTGTGGTAAGT